TTTTTTTTTTTTTTTTTTTTTTTTTTTTTTTTTTTTTTTTAAATTCTTCTTTCTCGATTGCATCATGCGGGTTTCTCGGCGAGCCTGGGGAGGGAGCCGGCGCCCGGGGGGGGGTTGGTGTTGGATGCGGTGGGGGGGGACGGAGGGAAAAGCCGAGCCGGGCTGGGCTCGCCCCGCGCTGCGCTCCCGGCCGGGCTCTGCGGGGCTCCCCCGCCGCGGGCTGCGAAGCCTCGGGGGTCGCCCCTAAGGCTGCCAAACCCCTTCCTTCCCCCCCGTCCTCAGCCGAAATTCTCTCCAAACCCTCGGTCGTGCCGAAGCCCGGGGTGGGGGAGGCAGCCCCGGCTGGATGTGGCTCCTCTGGTTGCGTCCCCCCCGCTCCCGGGGGGCTCCGTCCCGTCCCATCCGCCTTCCCGGGGCTGCTCCCGGCGGGTTCTCGCTCCGGTCCGCCCGCGGGGGAAGCCCGCGGAGGTAATCGGGAGATTAACCCGGGATTAACCTCGCTAAACGCCCAACGAGCGGCGGGCGGAGCGGGATCCCCTCGGCCCGCGAGGCGAGAGGGAGACTGCCAAAAAACCCAGCGAAAAAGACCAAAATAAAAGAGGAGGAGAGCGGGCGGGAGGCGAACGGGGGGTTACCCCGCTCCGGGGGGGTTGGGGGGAGCCGCGAGAACCGCGCTGGGGGCACCCCGGGAACGGAGGGGGGGGTTCGCAGCATCCCGGGAGGGAACCCCCGCCCCCCCTCGCCCCGAGCTAAACGAGCCCGAGGGTTTCCCACTGCGGAAAAAATAATCCGAATAATTATAATAATCAAACGGGAGCCCCGGCGAGGATGCTCCCGCCTTTCTTTTCATTGACGGAGCCGCCCGGGGCAGGGCAGAGCCCCGGTCCCGGCGGGGAGAGAGCGGCGGCGTCCCCCGGTGTGTGTCCCCCCCGGACCCCCCCGGCGCCGGGGAAGCCCCGACACGGCGGCCCCGCTGCCCCGGCGGCCCCCCGGCGCCGAAGGGGTTAACGGCACGCTCTCAATAGGGCTTTATTTTTTAAAGAAATTTATCAGATTTTTACAGGGGGACCAGAAAAGGGTTCTCGCTTTTCCACAGGGCTCCGTCCAAACAGAGCGCAGGGCTAAAAATACAAAATTTTTGTATAAATTGGACTCCATTCGAAACTTCTGCCACATAAAGGTCCTCTTTGTGCTGCCCTGGAAATGGTGTACAAATAACTCTTTATTAATGCCACAAAAAGGACTTTAATTATATTTACGCAGATCAAGAAACAGGGTCACCTGAACATCTGAAACCTCACAACCGCGCTTTTGTTTCAAAATAAACACACGCACTCACACCCCAGCACCGCGGCTGCGGCGCTCGCAGCGCCTCTCCCCGCTCGGGATGGGGGTTTTTTTTTTGGGGGGGA